CCCCCGCACGTGTTTCCTTGTTGCGCTGCAGCTTGCATCAGACCGTCTTTTATAAACATTAAATATGGCATATACTTTTTATCATAACTTCGGCGCTACTTGGCCTAACAACACAATATAAAAACTGGTTTAAAGTTCTAAGTCTCTACTTTTCACTCGAGAGTCAGAGAGGGCTGATCTTTACAGGTAATTTTTTTTATTTTTCGTAAAATTTATTTAGGTCAGCCAGCATTGACAACGCTCTGTGGGTGATGTAATCGGCTCCGCAACATGGCAAGGCATGCATAAATCGCGCGACACAACGAATCGATAATGAAATTCTTTGCCAACGCTTTTAATAATCGATTTTTATCGATTTTATCGGTTTGTTGTTGCAGCCCTACTCCTCATGCTTGCTTGGACTTTCTTCTGGGACTCTGGTCTACTCACACAGACCAAAAACACATACATTAGGTTGTCTTCAGGTCCAGGCCTCGCTTGCAAAAAAGTTGTGTGATCTCAGTGGGGTTTGCCTGGTTAAAAAAAAAGTAAATAAATAAAAAAACAATAATTTAAGATTGTTTTAGTCTGGAAAAAGTATAGAATTTGAACATTGAAACTATGTAGTAACCCTATTTAAAGCTGTAGCCCTTTTCATGTTTGGAATAAACTTTATATGTAGACCAAGAATAAAAGCCAGGCTGTCAAATAATTTGTTTCAATAATGTAAACAGTTTAAAGATTTTATTTGGACCCATTTTATACTGTGCAGTGTGAACTGTAGCCTGTAGCCACACATTATCTGGTTTCATGTTAGTTTTGTGAAGGCAGGTGGATCCAAGACCACCTCTGAATAGGGCTGCAGGATTATGGCCAGAATCATTTCTGTAAATTTTTTAACTAAGGAATGTGTTACCTGTCTAATGATTGTATCATCTACTACACAGTAATTCTCAGTCCAAATGGCATCATAGAGATGTGTTTTGTTGCTTTGACACTATATTTTTTTCTAATATTTTTGTGTTTCTGTCAGTTCTTCATGCCCATCAGTTCCTTCCCAGTGAGTATGCCCTCAGCATTGTGTCATGTCGTCTGGGTAAAGACCCGTCAGTGTATTTCATCGTTGGCACCGCCATGGTGTACCCAGAAGAGGCAGAGCCCAAGCAGGGACGAATCATTGTCTTCCATTACACTGACGGTCAGTAGCTTTCTCCATTTCCTTCAAACTCTACCCCAACTGTGCTTTCTGTCTTGTTCCTTGACCTTATCATGTTTGTTTTCTCACCCAGCTCATTTTTTTGTTTTGCTCCATTCCACCTTTACCCAGTTTCATTTTCTCCTCGCCCCACTCTCTCGTATTTTAAGCATGGACATGTCGTCCTGCCAAACCTCTTGTTTCCCTCCTCTCACTTAATCATTTTCTTATCACTTCTCATCAGACGTTCTCCCTCTCACCACCACTGATTCAGCTCCTTTCCTTTAACACGCTGTCCCTTTCAAAATGCATTGCTTGCATTTCATTTACACCACTCCAAGCTCTTCATTTTACTCTCACCCTTATACTTGATGCAGTACCATCTCCATTTCCATTTATTCCACAGCTCTCGCTCTCTCTATTTTCTCACAAGCATCTTGTAGATGCTAATTTAACTCAACACTGCATGTGTAACTCTTTGAATGTTGACTGAACCCTGGCTGACATATATATATTTTTTGTAGGTAAGCTTCAAACCGTGGCTGAGAAAGAGGTGAAAGGAGCCGTTTATTCTATGGTGGAGTTCAATGGAAAACTACTGGCCAGCATAAATAGCACAGTAAGTTGTGATAGATGGTGGTTTCAAGGGACATAAGAACCTCTTGACATATTTATTGCACAGATAAATAGCTAGAACTCAATTTTAATAATACAGAGGTAAAATTTAGTGTGGTAAGAGCTGGGAGTCATCCCAATCTGACACTCTGAGAGTTAGGTCATCATTCAGAATCAAACTTTAAAACTTTGTCATTTACATTTAGAGCCATAGTCTGTTAACTGAATATTTAATGAACCGCTATGTCGATTTAAGTGAAATGTTCAATGTAATCACTGCAACCGAATAACTTTTCAAGTCAGTCCAATTCAACATGGCCACCTCTGCCATCTTACTGTAAAAGAACTCAGTCAGTTTTACAGATACTGAACTACAGTTTAGTGTTGTATTACCTGTGCAACATCACCAACACATCCAAACACAAGACAGTGCTCAACTTCTTGGCTTAAAACTTTGACATTAACAGTTAATCATTCATGTTTGTCTGTTAGCAAAATATCTTGAGAACCATGGGACAGATTAAAACAAACGTAGTATCCTGATTCATCTTAATAATCCAGGCAGAAAAATCTAAAAACAAAGTCAGACTGAGGAAGTCTCTTGGAGAAGAGATGAAACTTTTCAACAAAGAAGAATCCGTCCAAAGGACCCGACTCAACATTTTTTGTAGGTAAACTCTGAGGAACTATCCATCTACAACTCAAAAGTTCTTAAAGTCATTCAAGATGGCTGCAGCTGTTAACCAGTCTTCACCAAAAATATGTGTACCTTTGTCAAATTTACCAATGTTGACCTAAAGTTTATTGTGGTAGTTGCTGAGAATAATCCTCAACACATAAATGGAGCACTAACACAACCRATGAGATCTCACAGCATCACATAAGATCACGCATAACATTTGCACAGTTTGACCACAACTTAGTCTTTTCTCAACACGATTTTAGTTTAAAACATTGGCACAGAAGGCAGTGGCTTCTTCAAGAAGTGCTGGGCCTTTAATTTTCCAACTACTAATAAAAATTTAAGAAAACTTAAGGTGTGTGAAGGATAAATGTAATTTAATGTTGAGATTGTGTTTTTTAACTAATTCTTTTCATTTAGGCTTGAGCAACAGATTCAGTGGCGTGGAGCTTTTAAACATTTCCTTCCACAGTCAGAGTTTACCATCTGGCTCAAATATTTAAACCAGTCTGTTTGAATTCTGCTCCTTTCTTCTCCACGTGTGGTGTAAAATCCGCCAGCCTCAACAAAAGTATGTTTCCTTTAATCTGTCATGTAGAGCAATTACAAAGTCTTTGTTTTTCTACATGAGAATTATTTCTCATCTCTTTTTGTATTCCTAATTTAAATTTACTCAAAACAATAAAAGAATATGTTAAAGTTAAGCATCTGAACAGTTTATCATTTGTTAGTGTTTTTCATGTTCACTAATTTAGTCTCTGTCCTGCAAGTCAGCCAACAAATGACTCATCTCAGTGTGTGATTCATCCAAGTAGAAAACCACTGTCTCATTCAATTTATAGTTTCATATCTAAATAGAGTTGTCTCGTGTAGAAGTGTGAAATCACCTGACATGCAGTGTGAAAGAAACGGCCTTTTCTCGCTGCTCCAAAATATCACACTCATCCATACTGAGTTAAAAGATAGATTAAAGGGATTAAAAGCTGGAAAGGCGGCGTTATCTGAAGATATCATGACTCAAATAGGAAGTTCAGATTCCTGGAGCTCATGTGAGTGACTCGCTTTCTACTGCATTGGTTTCTTTTTAATTTTTAACCTTCACTGAAAAATGGAGAAAAAAATACTTTGAATTTGTTGTATTTTGTTGATTTGCCTTTTATATTTCTGATTAAAGCTTCAGCAGACTGACAAGGGATGACTATTTATTGTATGAGGCTTAAGATTAAATTTGTAAAAATTCTGACATTTTCTGAGAATTTTTTWAAATTTTTATTTTTAAATTTATTTTTATTTTTTTTTTTTACATTTGTGAAAGTAAAACAAACTGCTCATTTGAAGTCAGCGTAAACAGGTCTGCGGTCTAACTACATTTTCTTGATTTATTAGTTACTTGTTTTGAATCTGATGTTTTAGTGAGTAAGATTTGGCCACTTAAGTTGCAGCCTCGTCCACGTTTTAAGTTCTAAGATGAGCAAAAAAGATCAAAGATGTCAAACTTGATTAAAATTATAATAAATATTTTTCTTAAGATCAAGATCTTTATAATTTCATCGAGGCAAACGAGCTTATTTTAAGGTCTGTGCAAACTTTGAGATTATTTAGGCCTCCTGGGCTTTTAAACTCCTTATTCATCACTCTGCTATTAAGTGAATTACACATGGGTCAGAGCTATAAACCTCTGCTTAGCTTTTTTTTAACGTTTTGTCATAATGTTTGACATTGCAGACAGTGTGAGATGTGGGTCTAATTAGTCATCAACTCTTCATTCATGAACTAGCAGATAGTTGATTGTTAATCAACACCTCACACTGACTGAGAAACAAGAAAACAAGTGGGAACTGAAGGTAGTTGTGGATCTAAAATGTCCAGTTTATCAAATGCATCACAAGCTCTTAATGACACCTTTTTCCAGGTTCGTTTATATGAATGGACGGCTGAGAAGGAGCTGAGGACTGAGTGTAACCACTACAACAACATCATGGCCCTTTACCTGAAGACTAAAGGAGATTTCATCCTGGTGGGYGACCTGATGAGGTCTGTCCTGCTGCTGGCATACAAACCCATGGAGGGCAACTTTGAAGAGGTGAGATGTGAAGAAAAATGTGAGGGAAATAACCTCAGAATTCAGAAGGGTGAAGAAGTTGAGCTGAGTTGTTACTTTGAACCAAAACTGCAAATTAGTTTTGACTTTCAACCAAGGCAGGTACTGTATACTTCATGTTCTCTTTGTTGTGTAAATGTTTTATTCCTCTCTGACGCTCATTCACAACTCAGACTTTTGATGTGTTGAAACTGATTTAGGTTGAAAAGATTAAAAAAAATTGAAACCCTCTGAGCACATTTTATAATGAAAATAATTAAAAGTTGTCATGATCAAAAACTACATCTTTAAGAAAAAAATGTATCATTTTACAGCAGGTTTGCGATTTTATTTTTAAACGAAGAATAAAAACAGAACAAACCATACACGGATTCTAACCCTAGAATAAAAATGTATTACTTTTATACTCAGGTTTATCGGGTAATTCCAAGTGCTCTGTGCCTGATTAAAATGCTGTAAGTCTTTCCACATAAGATGCAACGGCAGTAGAATATTGATCGCACAGATTCAGTAACAGTCAGTGGAAGTGTTGAAGCATTGGAGAAGACGGCTTGTTTGGAGTCAACACTTCTCAGATAACGAAAATACTTGGAGGCGAGAGCCATACTGGCTTTGGTTGATAGATTTACGTTGTTTACATTTTTCTACAACATATTTCTTATTTTTGCTCAGATTGCTCGCGATTTTAATCCTAACTGGATGAGTGCTGTGGAGATTCTTGATGACGACAACTTCCTGGGGGCAGAGAATGCCTTTAACTTGTTTGTCTGCCAAAAGGACAGGTGAGAAAATAATAGAATGTTGCTTTTTATAGATGCTAAAATGCAATGTCTGTGTGCTCAATTTCTTTCATAAAATCATTTTGTTCATCTGATCTGTTTCACCAGAACTGAAATGCCAAAAAAAAGTTCTAAATCACCTCTAAATTTTGCCCACTCAGGTCCACACAGAGTCATTAGGATGCTGTTCCGTCTACAGAGTCCCATGATAGGTTTTAGATCAACATCACTGATATGAATGTGGCAAAGCAGCATTGTCCTTGCATTTGTTTGGGAAATTATGATTCATCTCTCAGCTGTGCTTTTAGCTACCCTTCAGCTTTTTCCCCTTTGTGGTAATTTCACTGTTGGACAAGTGTTGACTTTAAGGATAAGGAAGAGAGATGTGTTCAGAAAGTGCTTGTGTTACATTTGTGCCTTCACTCATTATCCATCTAATACGTCAGGTTGGAGCTCTCAATGCTTTTGACCTTTATTTTTGTATCACGTCTCTGTTCCTGTTGCTCTTTTCACTGTTTCCCAACCTTTTATTCATTACCTCTCTATCATTCTCTGACCTTTTGCAGCACTTCTTGTATATCTGCCTCCCTTGTTTTTCATTTGACTAATCGATAGCCTTGCTCCCGACCATGTTTCAATTTTGCCTCTGACATTGTTTTGTCTTGATGTTCACACTCCTCTTTGCGGTTTCTCCTTTGTGTTTCTGTCTTGCCATCCTTCCCGCGGTCAGTGCGGCCACCACCGACGAGGAGAGGCAGCACCTGCAGGAGGTGGGGGTGTTCCACCTTGGGGAGTTTGTAAATGTCTTCTGCCATGGTTCACTGGTGCTGCAGAACCTCGTGGAGAGCTCCACACCCACCCAGGGCTCCGTGCTCTTCGGCACCGTTAACGGGATGATTGGTAGGTGTACGGACAATTTCACACGCAAGMTTMTTTTTMTTMMTTTTTTTACACAGATACAAGCCAGGCTTGAGTCCTTTTGTATTCTAAGTCATTTGCTTTCTTGCTGCTGGAAGAAAATCTTCACATTTATGTCTGTGTTAGAACATCAGTACTTTATTAATCTGGACTCAAGACTGAATGAAGGTGGAAACAGATGTCATTTTTGGACACTAGTTCACTCATTATCACTTTTTATRGCTACTGAAACATATTAACACTAAGAAAGTCTTGCATACATATTTTTTTTAATTTTGTTATGTCTTAGGCACAGTTTTAAGAAATAATTTACTACCTTTTTAAAAACTCTACAGTTATTTTGGCTTTTGTTAGAATGCAGAAAAATGACACTAAATGTTTTATTTATATCTGGGTTTTTTATTGCCTCATCCTCCTTGATTTAGTTTTCATGCCAAGTACTTTCATCTGTAGTGTGTCATCCTCTACAAATGTCAGTGGCAGGATCGTCTGACTTTTTTTTTTCATCAAATCACACACAGAAGAGGGTTTGTTACAGAGGACTGTCTAGGAAACCCTTTGTAGAAACCAGTAAGCTGTAACTTAAGCCTTATTCTCACTTGTCTGGGATTATTGGGGACTAGACTCAAAATTGTGACTAAAAAAGGCAAGTTTTCCATTGCAGTCTCAGTAGAATCTATGTGACTGCGATCAAGTGACCAGTGAGCTGAGCAGTCTTGTTTTGCCTGTCCCATTTTATGAAAATCACTGAATATTTTGGTGTACACATATTGCAAAACTTCATTTTTGGCCATGTACATCATTTTGTTGCTCACCACTTCCCACCTTGGCTCGTTTTTCCCCAGCTTTGGGGAAAGTGTCCCCACTTTCAAAATAAAAAATAGGCAGATTTGGACCAGTTTGTAAATATTCATTATTGTGGTTAAACCAGGACATTTAGGACTGGTGTTTAAGGAGTCTTCGGCCTCWTTACACTCCCTCTGACCAGTCAATGTTGGTTCGATTTGTTGCAGTTTCATGACAAAAATTACATTACCATGCTCTCAGCATAGACTATGCCTTCTCGTCACACCCCGCCAGGAGAACTTTTTACRCCCCACCTGCTAAGAAGTTGATGTGTGGTAGGTCTGAAGTTTATGGGCGTGTTTGTTCATGCTGAAAGCGCTCGGACGTTGCATTTTTCTCCAACTACTCGCTTCCTGAATGTGACTGTTGTAACCAGAAACATTTATAAAGATCATCAAATGGCCAAAAACTCATGAGGGAAGATAAAGACGTTTTATACGGTGCAGTCTTTAGGGAGCATTAACTGGGATGGATTTGTGGGCAAATATTAGTGGATCTAACAGATATGTGAAAAAAATAACGGTGGATTGCAGGTTTTTGGGTTTTGTTTTGTTGTTGTTTTTTTTTCGGAGTGTGGACTCCAGCTGGAAGGAACCCTGTGCAGTGAAGTGTACCATAGCAGGAGGGGTTTCCCAGGAGCTTGGCACTGTGCATCTCYGGAACTATGAAAGGTGTGTGCGAAAACGAACGCCGAACAACCACGTGACTGCGTGACGACTGCTCAGCCTCGGTTGAAGTATGTGGAGGCCTTTAAATCTGTCTCAAGGAGAACTTCCATGCAGGTGTCAAACCCGACTGTAGAATTATGAGAACTGAATAGCTTAAAGGTTCAAGGTGGATGTGAGAGGTTCACCGTAACAACTTTGCAAATATTATGTGAAATTTTTTTTTACTTATCCTTTTGAAGATGTTTGAAATTCAAGCAACAAGATTGCAAGCCTGTGCAACTCACACAAGACAATCAAAAACCCTCGCAAACATTTGGAAACTCTGAATGCTTTTCTCCAGCTAGTCYTCGACCTTCACAGCTCCACAACATATTAGGGGTATAAATCACCATATTTATCACAATACAATATTATATCAATTTGTTTGGATGATTATACGATATTTCCCAGTATAACAAATTTAGTCACAATATGATTTCGATTCAGTTTGCAAGTCTTGATCTATATGATGCCTTACACAAACATAAATGATTGTCTTAGACGGGCAAATGATATTGATCCACATCGAGTATACTATAATGATCTGGACTGTTTTTTATTTTGCTTCAATGTAACTGAATCAATAARCATTTAATAAATATATTGATGTGGATCAATGTATCGTTACACCCCTAAAAGGTACTGTTGTAGCCTAATGAGATTATCTTAGTAATGTAACTTCTTCATCCATTTATTGATAGGGATCTGTTGTCACACTAAAGCAGTTTTTTCTCTCTCTAACAATGTGAATTTGTTGAATCTTTGTGAAAATCAAGCTGCTGTACAGGACAAATTTTAACYACACAAACTATTACACGTTGTGTAGTTCAGCAAACAAGTAGTTTGGATTTTCTGCAGAAACATTGTCCATTTTCACACACAGCATATGCTCTGTGACCTCAAAACAACTTGCCTTTTCACTTGCCTCATTTACGTCTTTACAATTAAAGGTCGACTAAAATGAGTTTTTCTATAGCCGATGCTGATCTATCTCTGTTTACAGTAAAGCAAACAAGCACTCCTAACCTTGTTCTGCTGGGATTTTTACAGTGTTCAAGCTTTTAAAGTCACAGGAGTCATTTTCAATAACTCAGCAATGTGCGTTTAGTGTGACGAATAACATCCATCCATTTTCTTTACACACTTTTATCTTTCCGGGTCACAGGGGAGCTGGTGCCTATCTCCAGCTGTCATTATGCAGGAGGTGGAGTACGAAAAACGTATGCAATAGACCTATCTCATATACGGTTCTTGTTAAATCACCATTTGGAGAACGGATAGGTGAGATTTCCTCACCAGCCCTTCACTCACACACAAGAGTACTCTGATCTCACAGTCTTTGAAGTTAGTGGCCATTATCAGTAGCTGTTTTGCTGTAAAATGGGTCATTGCTGATTATTCCCCATTTAAAATTGCCATGTGCTCATAGCCCAAACCACATGCCATCAAAGCATCACACCTCTTTATCGTAACGCCAGCTRTGGCTCTCTCACAGCATTTTGGCTGGGCAATTAGCGCTGAGGTGGGTCAACCTCAGTCTCCCATTCTGTTCCTAGAACCTACTCGCTGGAAAAAGACCTGCAGCAAAAAGCACATAAATCTCTATAAACATTAGGTGTGAAAGGAGCTATTTTTGATAGTTTCTTATGATATCACCTCACTGCATGTGAAACTTTTATATTGGTAAGTACTAAGAAATGACCTTATGCTAAAAGCAGTGGAGCATGGCATCAGTGGGCTTTGTGAGGTGTTAGTGGTGAGATTCTGTCAAACGCACAGCAGCTGTTTCTCTTTCTTTTCACACAATGTATGTGATGAATTGCAGTAATTATCACCACCACCACATCAAAAAATATTTTTATCCATGTGTTCTTGTGTGTTTGTATATCGTGTTAGCAAAATATCTCATGAAACAGTGAACAGATCATAATAAAACTAATGGAAAATAATCATTGCTGGTTATCGACAGTTGATTAATTTTTGAAGTCATTCTCGTTTAAGATGGCCAAGGAGTTGCTGGTTGTCACTGATACTGCACCAAGAAAACTCGACATTAAAGAGACCTTAGTCAACAAAATCACTACCAACATACCCACATGAGCCACATAACAATATTGTCTGGCCCAGTTCTGGCCCACACAATACACAAACACTCATAACACTTGGCCCAGACACTGCAAAGAATGATGGGCCTTTGGTGGCCCTGATATGGTTTGCCAACAGGGGTGGGCATCGAGGGTCGCAGTCCTACATGTTTTGTTTCTCTTCTCCAACACACCTGATTTGAATGAATGAGTGATTATCAGGCTTCTGCAGAAGTTGGAAGAGGTAATTCAGTGACTGGACCAGCTGTGTTGGAGCAGGGAAAAAAGTAAAACATGCAGGGCTGCGGCCCTCAAGGCTCAGGATTGCCCACACCTGGACCATATAAACCAAACCAAAACTGTGCCCATTTGTGGTATGCTATCTAAAAACAGTTCCATCATTGCCAGAACTGGCCCACATCTGGTTGAAAAATCACTTGCCATGCCAGCAGGACCAGCTTGACACCAGATCTGGCCCACACCTGTCTGCTGTGTGGGTATACTTTGAGCACTAATGCAATCTGATGAGATCTCACATTAATGCAGGTGATTGTGTATAACGTCATTTAGAGGCTTTGACTGAAATGGCAGTAATTATGCCCATTTTCAACAAGATGAGCAGAGTCGCAAACGTTGACATGAAAGGTGGGGGATGATATACATTCCTTCAAGGAACTGTAAGACTTTAATTGTGATTTTAATGAAGATTATTCAAAAAATCACACAAGTAGTTTTCTTAGACATTTTATTTAATTTACCTTTTTTTCTCCCTTTCCTATAGGTGTCCTCCCATAAACTCAGTTACTGATTTATTTGTCATAACTGTTGTCAGCTTGTTCCTGCCTTGATCCAGTGGAGATGAGCAGGATTTAGTTTGCTGCGCTATAAACTCCAGGGCTTTATGTCTTTTCAGAACCCTTGCCCATGCTGCTCAGTGTAAATCCCCAACATTCCTTCGAACAGTTTTGTTTTGCTGGAAAATGTTTCTCAATGACAACATAAAACCCACTCAGAACCTTTCCTAGCAAATACTTAAATAACCCTTGGATTCAATGTGAAAATCCACTGAAAATCTTGCAGAAAACTGACATTCAGTCAGTGAATAATTGGAATTGACATTTCCTTTCTTCGAAAAAGAAAGTGAGCTGAATGCGGCAAGAGCTCCGAACAAATAGAAAGTACACAAAGATCCGTCACAACTGTTTCGTCAAAGCTAACATTTACATTCTAGACAATAACGTAAAATTGAAGGCAATCACATTTTCACCCCTCATTACTCTGATTGAAACCAGTAACTTTCAGGCAGGCAGTAATGATTGCTGAGATGAAAAACAAGGAGTGCTCATCATTTGGACTCGGCACTCCCAGAGCTCCTGACGCATGGCACATTATTTCACCTCAGCACTTTCTGTGATCCTTTAAAAAGTGTCAGAGGAAAGTTTTACAGGAAATGAGAACRACAATCGTATTTCCCTGTGAAAAGTTTCCTCAGCAGCTCGTAAACCGAAATGAGCTTCAGCYTGTAATGAAGATAAATAACTACTGCTGGTGCTTATCTCTCTGTGAGATGCTGCGATGCATGTTTCCAGGAAGAAGCTTCAACACTACAAGATTATTCTAATCTCCACCCGATACAAAAAAACAATCATTAAGTGGACAAAAAAGCTGTTTTTAGATAGTCTGATCTGTAACTGATCACAATCAGTATTAAAAGTGCAGCATGAGAGTCAATTTTTTCTGTAAAAAAAATTCCACCTCATGTCACATTCTTATCTGATGGTGTCATTTATTAATATTTTTATTTTATCTAATTAATAGCTGCAGGACACTCTCAGTTGATTTATAATATAGACTGTTTTTGTTTTTCCTCTGTAAAATAGATTTTTTTTATCAACACAGTCAGTTGATGTTAATAAATATAATTTTCAGCCCCAAGCAAAAAAGCAAAAGATGGACAACATTTTTGCCTGTATCTGTGTGCACATGTGTTGGCAAAATATCCAGAGATAATGTGAAAGATAATAAGCTTAAGATTTGGCATTGTGTACCTTAGTTAGCTACAACAAATAGGCCAATTAAAAATAAAGACCTTAATTTAAAATCTTGCTATTAATCATTGACTTGATTCATTTTTTTTAATCTCATGATACTGGGGCGATTTAATGAAACTTTCAGATAACTACTCAATGGGTGTACACTTACGAATGGTTAACTTATGAAATCACTCCAGTGTCAGATGGCCACCACAGCCAACTGATATTAGAAAACACAAACGTGGCTAAAATTTAGCTAAGTATTACAGGTATTGAGTTAAAATTAAATTTTATAACAGCTTAGATCCTCAACACATACAGTGGGGTGTGGAAGTTTGGGCAGCCTTGTTAATTTCCCGGATTCACCTTTATAAATCATTGTTTGGATAAATATAATCAGTTAAATATATCATATAGGGGACAAACACAGTGATATTTGAGAAGTGAAATGAAGTTGATATGATTTACAGAAAGTGTGCAATAATTGGTTAAACAAAATTAGGCAGGTCCAAAAATTGGGCACTGTTGTCATTTTTATTGATTTCAAAATCTTTAGAACTAATTATTGGAACTTAAGTTTGGTTTGATAAGTTCAGTGACCCTTGACCTCCATACACAGGTGACTCCAATTATGAGAAAGGGTAATTAAGGGAGGCAATTGTAAGTTTTTCTCCTCTCTTCTCTGAAGAGTGGCAGCATGGGAGTCTCAAAACAACTTTCAAATGAGCTGAAAACAAAGATTGTTCACCGTCATGGTTTAGGGGAAGGATACAGAAAGCTATCTCGGAGATTTCAGCTTTCAGTCTCCACTGTGAGAAACGTGAGAAAATGGAGGACCACAGGCACAGTTCAAGACAAGGATCGAAGTGGCAGACCAAGACAAATCTCCAATAAACAGAAGCGAAGGATGTTGAGAACAGTCAGAGTCAACCCACAGACCAACACCAAAGACCTACAACACACACATTTTGTTTTGTTTTGTTTTGTTTTGTTTTCTTCATTAACCTAAGTTCTCTTAGTTAAACATAAACATGTGTGGTATCTATAGAAACGTCAGGATCTTGGCTAAAAACTCATAAAAACCATTTTCCTGTCCACCAGACAGTTAAAACTTCAAGAAAACCCTTTGGGGCTTAAGAGGTAGACATAAAGTGATGTGGTCTTGGCCGAACATGATTCACAAACTGCGGTTTTGCAGAACGTTATTTTAAGGTTTTGGGTAAAATGACTACAACTCCATCATTTCTCAACTTAAGACGATTTTAGTTTAAAACTCTAGCAATAAAAATAGTGGGTGATARGCATTCCTTCAAGGTGTGTTGGACCTTTAATTTGGTTACAGTTTCCCAAATGTATTCAGGGTTACATTTTGTTTTTTTTATATATTTTTTGATTCGGCAAGTAATCAATCCCATATTTTTATTGCAAGACAAAACTAGACAACTTCTAATAATAGGAACTTGTTGTTAATCCAACTTACTTTAACTTCCAGGCAAAAGATTGATGATCTTTCGATCGTCTGCTGGGAGGTGTGAAGATAAACAGCTGTTGGGGTTAACTCCCCACTCTCGTGTCATTAAAGGCTTTAATGACGATGTAATTATGGCAGGCCCAAACCTCTAATGAATACAAGGGATGTAGAAAGCTCTTCTCATCACTTTGCACAAATTAAAGTTCTTTTCTGTTCATTGAGATGCAGCTTTACCTTAAATAACACTCTTCASTTTCGTCTTCAGCCAAGTGTGTAAAATTTTTATTTTTAGTATTTCTTTCAACTAAAAAAATTTATTTTTTTTTTGGCCAAGAGAAAAGTCTTGGCTAAAAAAATTATTAATGAGCTGAATCATATGAATAATACATCAAGGAAATCATTAAAACGAAATGATATAGATTAAATCTATTTTAGCTCATAAAACATGTATTAGACAAATAACAGATAAATGTGTGTAATACACAGGATCAAATGTTTTTGTCTCCTTTTAAAAGACCAAACTATTGTATTAAAAAGTGGATTAATTTTAAGTTAATTGGTTGTTAGCGCTCTTCTGTTTCCCAGTTTGTCAACACTTTCAAAGCTTCATGTGCAGAAAAACAACCTCTGCATCACTAATTAGTGAAATGAGTTTATGTTCATGTATTTGTTTGTGTCAGCTTTCAGTTTGTGTGTGTGTTTTTTTACAAGTTATTTCCCCCAGAGTATTSAAATGCATGCACCAAATGTCATAAAACTATATTTCTACCTCGATGAAGCTCCCTGAATAACTGTGGCTGTAGGATTTTTCACAAATCCCATGAAAATGAGGGATATTTCTTGAATTATTGAGCAATAAAACCAGTGCTGTTTTACCTGCAGCACACAAGTATAAAACTTGCATTTGGAGGACCGCAGTCAGACTTATGATCTTATAATTAGTAATTTGATTGTTTTTTATGTTTGGAATAAATCCAGTCTTGAAGTTATTCTGTTCCTTTACTATTGATGACAAATTAAAAATGATTTATGATTACTGTTGTGGGATGCAGACATCTTAAAGCAGCTAAACCATTCTGTGTGTTTTAGGTCTGGTGACGTCCCTGTCTGAGGGCTGGTACAGTCTCCTCCTCGACCTACAGAACCGCCTCACCAAGGTCATCAAGAGCGTGGGGAAGATCGAGCACAGCTTATATCCTTTGTAAACTCACACGTCCACTCGCTGCCTGCGACAGTAAATCTGGCGACCTGCACTGACAGGTGCGGCTGTCTTCTTGGCAGCAAACCCCAGCGACGTGACAAAGCAGTAATGGTGTCCTTAATTGGCTTTGAAGCTGCTTGATAAATATTTTATGATTGAATAATTTGTAACCATTCTGCTGTGTGTGATCCCATTATATAATTTGTTGTGGAGCTGAACTATTAGTGGCCATGTTTCAGTTTGTCTTCTGAATATTGTTTTGTTCCACTCTGCATGTCAGCCGCCACATTTTAACCAGTCAGGACATCGAGCCACATGTTGCTTTACTTTTCTAGTAGAAAGAAGTGCTGCTTTTATGGAGGGTAGATATCTATTAGTGAGGAAACCAACGGTGATTAGAGTTCGACCGATACAGGTTTTTGAAGGCTGATACCGATTTTGTAGATATCAGTCTAACTGATAAAACGTTCAGCCTTTTTTCTTTTTTTTTGGCCGATTCTTGCAGCCGTTACTGCCTTTTCTTTCTCCATTAACACGATAAAAATAAGAATCATAACAAATGTTACACAGGTCTCAATTTAAAACAAAACAAAAACATTTATTAACTGAGCCTTGTCTGATGCAGGCTGTAGGAAGTGCTGCCACACAGGATTTCTTCTTTCAGCCCTTTCTTAAAAAAATAAATTCATGATTTATTTTATCTAGTGCTAAATATTCTGTTTTTATTTGTATATTATTCATATTAATATATATATATTTTACATAAAATGACTATGTTTTAATATCCCAGCATTTTTYATGCAAAAACAGCAACATGCCTAATTAAAACTGTCAGAGGAACACAAAAAAAGGAGACACACATACATCTTGCTATCTTTGTGAGGACTTCACACACACACACACACGCAGCGCTCACAGTCTGCCTCAGTCTGCACCCGTTTTTTTACACCGGGCAAAAAATGCATTTAAACTAGCTGAAGTTAAGTTTAGATCACAGTTTGAAATGTACACCGAAGAAAACTTGCATCACAACTTTTATACTGTGGTCAGAACAAACGTGATATGAGCAGAGTCTGCCTGGTTCACATGTTGTTTACATGGACGGCAGCGCTTTCGCTCTTATGAACGTAACAGCGAGAAAAGACCYAGAGCTTTTTATTTTAATCCAGCAAGGAGAACAATACAGGTGTTCTTCTATGCTTCCTGTGAGCAGCTCCAGCATTTTTTAAAACAAAAGCAATGCGGACACGCTAATTACKGTWCGGTTTCAAACCYAAKGTAAAAACATGGCGCTCGCTGCGCTCCRGTTCYAAGTGAAACAAACACACAGCTGTTCTCTCTACCACTCATAGTCCGACACAGGGGGCAGAAACAGCTCAGTTAGAKAGTTAAAACACATTTACAGTTCATAACTCACCCTTATWGTTGTTAGCACTCTGRCTCACYACATTAGCAGCCGCTCTCTCCCCGAGGGAGTGGCGGCAACATGCGCTCGCATGACCCAAAGAATGGATCAGCCGAACGGACGAACGTATCGGCCGATACCCATATATAAGGAAAAAACGCTAATATCGGCCAAAAATATCGGCCAGCCGATGTATCGGTCGACCCCTAATAGTGATACATTTTGTTGGATCCAGATCRAGGTAARTGATTGATTAATTAAATTATTACCATGAAAAAGGAACAAATTGTTCTCACAAAAAATGTTTATTTTCTTAAATACCATTTTGGACACAGTTCTTTCAACGCTGTCTACACGAGTTTTGATTGTTGTGCAGATTGGTCTCTTCCTTTTGTCATGTTTGGCCCAAACTAAAAATAATTAAAAGTTCAAGTATTTTTTAACTGCAAGAAAATTTTAGCCAAATGTTGCCCTGTTGTTGGTAACTTGATAAGAAAGTTATTAAAATATGGCGTTAACATAGTGGAATAGAATGACTTTATTGTCATTACACATATGCATAACGAGATTAGAGCCAAAAAAAGTTATGTTGCATAAAGTTAATTGTAGTAATGTAATGTAATACAAACCCAGCATTGAATTAAAATGTTTTTTCTTCTTAATCAGAAGAATTAAAGGTGATTGCCTCTGCAACCTTTTTATTTTATATTAAATATTTTAATCCTTATGTTTCACAGTCAAAGCCCATTTGGCCTGATGCTTAGCCTCTTCCTTAAACAAAAAGAGGATTACCAACACCACACTGATTACCAGCTGCCTGCTCTTCTAAACGTTTCATCACATCACATTGGATATGTTGACTCTGCCTGAGGGAAACTTTACAGTTCTATACCCCAGGGGCCATCCTCAGGCACAGTAACTGCCTCGTGGAGATTTTTTTTTCTTTTCCTTGACAGCAAAACACCTGGAGGTCCTTCCACACGGAACGCAAGACAGAGCAGGCCACAGGATTCATCGATGGGGACCTGATTGAAAGCTTCTTGGATCTCAGCCGAGCGAAGATGCAGGAGGTCGTCAGCACTCTGCAGGTAGGAGCCCCTGTTCATGTTGAAACTCACTCCTATCAGAGGAACACTGCAGATCTATTACCTCCAGTAATTCCCTTCTTTTACTAGTCTGATTCAGACAAATGTTTGTTTCATAACATTTATTTGGACTTTAGCTCTTCTTTTGTTTGTAAATGCATTCATTTTCTTACATTTTCTATGGTTTCTCTGCCTTTTTAATCCCATGGCAGATGTTTTGCAAGGTTCAGATTCAGTAATTGAAAAAAGCAAACTGAGGAAATCTTATTTTCTTGCCTTGTTAACTTAAGCCCCATCTAGGGATGTGTAGGACATAACATGAAGAGGATCAATCTTCTGCACAACTCAAGCAGCCAGATAGACAATTAGATGATTTTTWAAAAAAAGTAACTTATTTACTGGTGTTTTTTTATTGACTAACAAAATAACAAATAAAACCAGAAGTATCTTCATCTTATTCCACTTGCCTTAGTTCAAAAGTAAAAATAAACAAACTAACACAATTGAGACACAATTAACATGAATTGAGACACAGCCAATATTTCTTTATTAATCAAGCAGAACAGTGAACACTCCAGTTCAGGACATACTGTCAGGCCATAAGTCCACAATTTTTCAGTAAGTCCCATTAAATATATCTTAGATGGRTGTTTCCTGTAAAATAAGGTTTCTTCTAGTTTTCCTGTTTTGCGTATGGTTTAGAAGTTGTTCATCAGGTTCTCCAGCACATTTTAGGCTGCAATAGGATTTTTCAAAATGTGTGGAAGCCCTTAAAATAAAGTGCCACAGGAAAATATCAAAAATATTGCGTTTGCTAATTTTCTTAAGTTTCTCTGCTTTTTATGTGATTTGATAAATCAGGAAAATGGTTGGACATGGACATCTACAACTGTTTTTTATTAATTTATGAACTAGACTAAAACCAGTCATTGCATTGTCTCCAGTGTGCCATAAAATTGATTATTTATGGTTTTATTTTTCTTCTGTTTTGACTAAATTTTGTGTTAAAAAGCCAGACTTTTTTCCCCAAAATCTTTATTATACTTTAAGTTGGAACAACCATAAATACAGGATTAGTGTGGCCTTTGCCTTCCTGACACAGTTCTGCTCACTTCTAGTTTCCCTCACTACATTTTAACTTTCTCCCATTGACATGGATTTCTCTGGTAGAATTTCTACCGGGCCACTCAATGAACAGGAGGAGTTTTGAACAACAAACCTAGATTTTCTGCACTGTTTTAGTCTGCCTGTAGTTCAGCAATGGCAGCGGAGGAAGTGAATGAAGACACTGAGTCTGTGCTGACGAGGATTCTAAATGAAGGTTCTTAGCCTAGCTTACTTCACAGTCGAGCTTGGTACACTACAAATGTCTGCATTTGGGTAAAATCAACCCAATCGTTTTAAACTCCAACAGAGTCCACGCCACCAGCAAGAAACTGTGTCTCAATATCCGAGGTTCCAGACCGTCTGTACGAAGCGAAGCTTAGGACAATGGGCTGGTTTTTACCAGGCTAGGATTCATGTGATGCAAAAGAGTTTATTAATAACTTTTTCAACAACATATAATTTAGGGTATTTCACTGAGATGCAACAGGTGGAAGCCAGTTAAAAACTCAAAATTGCGACAAATATGGTTGGGTATTGTGGCCAATTCCCTGAATCAATTTGTTTTCAGTTTATAAGGTTCTGAATCGATTAATCATAGTTCAATTCAATCTGCTCTTAAATAATGAAAACTGTTCCACTCTGTTGCAAAATACAAATTTTCTTTGTTATTAATAAATAAAGTTCCAACAGAAACATCTGCTGAGGAAAAACTTGAAATATAATATTTATTATTATTGTTGTTGTTGTTGTTGATAATAATAATAATAATAATATAATTATTATTATTATTATTGGTTATTTATTTATTTATTTTCTAATTCAGCATTAAGCTTCGATGGACTGGTACTGTCTTTGAAGGTGAACTAGAAATTTCACACAAACTTCATAACAGGTGAAAAAGTCACTTTTGACAGAGACTAATACTAATTCTCTGTGTCCCATCTATTTTGAATGATAAAAATCAGTTTTAATTTACTCTATTCCACCTGTTTCATCTTAAAGAACAGATAAAAACAGATTCTGGTGATTCAGATGGTTTCCTTTCCAGGACATTCCTCTTTAAAGCCTAGATTTGGCTACAACTAGAACATTAGGCATTCTGCTGCAGCAGAGTGAGTTCACTTATATGTTGAAAAATGGGGTTTATATTTATCTGTAATAGTCTAAAAATTAGGGCACAGCCATATTTTAAAGATTTCAAAGAAATAAGTCATCCAAGTACTTTCAAGGTGATTTCAGATGTTAGTTTTAATGTTAAACGGAGTAAGGCTTTTTAAATCCTCATCTGTTTGGTTTGTACCTGCATCTGTTTTATTTATTTCTTTGTTATCGRATCACATAAGTCATGCCGTGGGGGTTGTGGGTTTTCTCAGCAGAGGAGGCTCACTGCTTGATGTCGTTCAATTTCAGATCGATGATGGCAGCGGCATGAAGCGTGAAGCCACAGTGGACGAGGTGATTAAGATTGTGGAGGAGCTGACGAGGATCCACTAGTTCAGTTCAACATTTAGACCCCCCCGCTGAGAGAGAGGACGGGCCCGAGGAGGATCGTTGGGGAAAACCACACATTGGGCTTTGCAAATGTGTAAATAGTTATAAGGACCGTGTTCATGCTTGTCCTTCAGACCTCAGTGAGATGTCCCGTTAAGACCATGAAGGTGCTACAGAATGAGCATAGCACCCCAAGTCTCCAGGCAAACTGCGACAGACAGACCAAAGTAAAAGTCCTGGTCTGGGTGTGTTTTAGTTTGTGTGAACATGTGTGACTGTGTGGAACGGTGTATCATCATTAAATTTAGCCGAAAAATTTTTTTCCTCACCTTCACCATTCTCTGCCGTGTTTCTTGCCACTTACAGATGAGTTGGAAGATTAATGGATCCTCGGCACCACGCAGTGTAAATGTGACCAGGTTTGAGTTCATTACTGAAGTCTGGAGTAAAAAACGCTGTAAAAGAAACTAAAATGAGGAAAATGATAGATTTATAGCTTTTTGTCTGTGATGTTTTCTTTGTTTATTCTAATAAAGTTTGCTTTAGTATGGTGTCTGATTCTTTTATTCTCAGAAAGAACTTCTGTTTCCATCACTGATCATCATTATTTTAGTGCTGATCAGTCACTCAGTTCTGCTCTTTAAGTGAAGTCTGACATTTGAAGAATTGCTGCTTTTTATCAGTGATACTTTTATCTGGATTAAAACATTTTGTGTGTTTGTTTAATTCCACTTATCCTCTGTGTTATGTTCATAAATGTAACTGAAGTGGAGGGCTTAATGAATTCTGCTAAAGACTTTCATTATATGTTCAAGATTGTTTGAACTTTGATTTAGTGATTTGTTCAAGTCATGTCTTTTTAATTAAGAATTAATTTCAGAATAAAGAACAGTCAAGTTTTATTTTTGTTTCCAAGAAACCAAGTGTTTTCAATCTGCTTCTCTAAGCTAAAGGCAGCTGTTTGTGGTTTTCTTTGTTGAATTTCTCCACTTTTACCGAATTTAGTTAAATTCTTATAAAACTACAAATTTTGGCAGAATGGAGTGCTGTGCAAAAGTCTTGAGCCATTTGTCATTTAGTTGCTGCATTAACAACCATTTTGTAATGCTAACGTGTTCTTTCAAATATGCCACTTTATTTGACTTTATCTTGGTTTATTGGCACATTTTCAGCAAACTTGTAGCTAAATCTAAAATTAGCAAAACTAGCTGAAACCAAAACATGAAAAGCTAAAATTTGCAAATGTGCTGAAGTAAATTTCAGGAAACATTTTTGAAGGGAACCAGTTTATTTCTAAAGGAAAAATTATAGATTAACATAAAACAGTTATAAACCCTAAAAGTCATGGAGCACTTCATGATCGAGCTGATCTAAATGGTTAAAATATTAAGTATGGAAAATTTGATTAAACAGAAGAAACAAATCAGGGAAACAATTGTGTGTTCTTACAATAGGTTTCAATTATTTACTTTTCTGGACAAAATTAATCACTTATATACCAGCTTACTGTTGTCTTTGTGAAATAGTAACCGGTTTTATCCCTGAGAATAACTAGAAATGAAAAAAAATGTAATTTACACCAAAAAAAAATACAGAATAGAGGATATAGTGCATCTCCTGTGGCTTTTTTGACAACTTGAATTCTTTTATGTCTGACCCAAAGAGGAACAATATTAGTTTTTGTTGTTTTCAGCTCAGCGTGTTTGAAGGTAGTTGTGTTGTGAACTTTTATCCTCTGTTTTCACCTTTAATGTTGAGCAGAATTGAGATCAGAATAGTTTGCTGCCTCTGTTATTGAGTGGATGTTTTGTTTTTTTTCTGTGGAGGTAATGATCATCATGGTCCCAGGTTTTCTACCTGCCACACAGCCCTGTACCATCAATACCTCTGTAAATAGGCTTGTTATCTTCAGGCCGTCCTCTTTATGTGGCTCATAAGTGCAGGAAACCCAAGGTAACGCATCATCTCCTTGTTTATTGCAAATTTGTGACTCAGCAGCAGAAATGTTTTTCAATCAGCGGCAGTTTCTCTCAGGCCACCGGACTTTAGTTTTCTTTAAGTGTTTATAGTGGTTTACATTTAGCTGTTTCAAATGTAAATACCTTTTCATTATGTTTTTACAGTTTAATCAAAGACACTGACTCATTTCTATAATTAGTTTTATTGTGCATTACCATTTTCTGTTTTATTTTTTTCCCTCTGACCTGTTAGCAGATTTTTCAGTGCTTCCCTTCCCACTTTGGTTTTACTTGCTTCATGTTTTCTACAAAGCGGTACAGAAATACACAACACGTTTTGACTCGTTCCATGTTGAATTGTCTTTATGAAAAAACATTATAATCCTATTTACTGTTTGATCATACAACTCATGTTGAAGTCATGTTTACTGTGTACAGCAGCTCATTAAGGCTGACAAAACACGTCATATATATTTGCATGTTTAGACTTCAGGAATTTTAAATAACTGAGATAAAATTAATGTTGTAGAGACCAAGTCAGTCGCAGTACATAGTCTTGAGTGTTAACAGATCTTAAATCATGCAGTATCACACATGATGCTACACTGCCTGGCCAAAAAGTGCCCACCTGGATTTAACTAAGGTCTATGATGTGGGGWTGCTGKAGTTGGTCAGGTCCAGGTTCAGCAACAGTTTGTGCTCAAAGATTAAGGTCAGCTGACCTGAATATACTGAATGACCAGGTTATTACATCAATGGATTGTTTCTTCCCTGATGGCACGACCATATTCCAAGATGACACTGCCAGGATTCATGGGGCTCTTATTGTGAAAGAGTGGTTCAGGGAGCATGAGACATCATTTCCACACATGGATTGGCTCCACAGAGTCCATGGAGAATCTTTGAGATGTGCTGGAGAAGGCTTTGTGCAGCGGTCAGACTCTATCATTAATGTAAGATCTTGTGTAAAATTAATGCAACACTGGATGGAAATAAATCTTGTGACACTGAAGAAGCTTGTGCAAACAACTCCACAGAGTATGAGTGTCGTAACCAAATCTAAAGGAGGTCCAACATAATATTAGTGTGTGACCTTTGTTTTCTTTTTTTGGGTGGCAACTTTCTTTTTGGCCAGACAGTGTAGGGACGGCTGGTGTAAGTGGGCTAGAAGGGCTAAGCTCTCCGTGTTGTTAACAATCAAAAAATTTTAATACCTAATAACAGATTAAAAATATTTTATCACATTTTGTGAAATTTAAAACAAAACTGGTGCCAAAACGGTTGAAGAAAATCCCAGAGTCTGTCCAAAGGGCCAACTTTTCACAGCCTCGTCTTTTGAGAAGCTGTGGCTGAGAGATTAGGGGTGTTGTCCTGGAACTAGTGGGTTGCCAGTTCGATCCCCCACTCTGTTTGTCTCAGTTGTTGTGTCCTTGTGCAAGATACCTCCCCCGCCTTACCTGGTTGTGGTTGTCAGAGGGTCCGGTGGTGCTGGTGCATGGCAGCCTCGCCTCTGTCAGTGTGCCCCAGGGCAGCTGTGGCTACAATGTAGCTTAATGTAGTGAACATGACTGTAGTGTAGGGTCTGTAGGGAGTTCATGAAGCTCTCAACATGTTCAGCCCATTTACCATTTTGTGGTGCAGAATGAACGTCTTGCCACACCTCATTGGGGTAGTCCAAGGCAACAGGCCAGTGAGGGTGGACGTCCAATAACATGGCTGGAGTGTGAGTGTATGTGGGTGTGGTTTTGGCCTAGACTGAGGCAGATTATTTAATTTCTCACCTGTTTTCCTTCCTGTCTTTGGAGGAAAATTGGAAATGAAAAGGTTCTGACCAAAGGATATGTTTTTCTGTGACCTGATTTCAGTGAAAGGACTGGTCAGCAAATGTTTTTTTTTCTGCAGAGATTCTGTTCTGGATCTCTGTTTTTAGAATCCAATCTGCAGCATTTTAATTATACATACAGTATGTCATCTGTCTGTTAGCCCACACTACCACCAGCTGCCACTGCACATCATGTTATTTTCAAGATCTGAATGAAATGACRACAACTCCATCATTTCTCAACAAGACATGAAACTCTGGCCTGAAAGTTGCCATTCAWAAAAGCATTTCTTCGAGGAATGCCAGATGTTCAATGAAATGAATCGTTTCATGTCCTTCCTTTCATCACTGCTTTTTTTAGGTTTTGTAAAAACATCCATTCTTATTAGCAAGCCTTCACTTAAACTGTTGATCTGAGYCTTTTTCTGCTTTTTTAATTCCTACAGTTTTAATGTTTTTAAACAAAGTTTCCTCTACAGTCTCTACCTCATTTACCAAATTAAAATAGTCTCATTTGCAGTTAAGCCCACACAGCTTTAGTGAAAAAGAGGAACCATTAATTGATTTCAAGAAYAATAAAAAAGGAGCCAGTGAACCTGTTTGTGTGTTTGTTTGACCTGCTGAAAATTCATGAAATTTCCTTTAGTTTTCCAAAGGATCTCATTAATTTGAGTTGTGTGCAGATGTCTTTTCATCTGCAGTAAACCGTGTCAGATCAGAACTTATTAGTGTTTTCTGTCTGAGATAACAAAAGTTTGGAGCARGGGCAGACTGACAGTGAAATCTATTTTCAGGAATAAGTCACTGCTTTGAGAGTTGGAAGCAAACTGGTCAGTGACTGGCAGCCAGTTCTTCTCAGCTATATTTATCCTCAGCGCTCCATCCTGAGGCACAGCGGCTCCCGGCTTGCTCCGGCTGCTCGTTCACTCTGAATTGTTTACATCCAACCTGTTAATATTTAAAGATTTACTCTAAAAATTCAAAGAGAACATCTTTTTTTTTCTCACGGGCTGTCGAAGAAACTGAAACCCCTGTGATTCCACAAAGACATGGATAAAAAAAACTGACATTGAATGAAATTTCATTTCCCCCTGATGTTTTCCTTGATGTTGAATGAATGTAATACAGTATTTTTTTTATTGACATGACAAACATGCTGCTCTGAATTTCATGTTTTCAAARGAACCAAGTATGCCAGCTCTCTGGAGAGGCTTTTCCAAGGACCTTCCAGATAAATGGCACTCATTGAACTGAATACAACCATGTTTTATTCACACAAGGTTTTTATAAACATAAAACCTCTGTCTTCCTGCAGTGTTGTGTTGAATAAATCCTTAAATCTTTAAAGTATATTTATGTATCTGTTCTATGAATTGAGGGGTTTGGATTTGTTTTTGTGTCCTTCAAAGAACTCACAAATTATACATCAAAGCATGCAGTTTGACCTGAAAGAGTGGGCTATAATTTTTGGTTTTGGTATATTGTACTTTGTAGTCGAATTTAGCAAAAATCTGAGAAACTTCCCCATACACAGTGAGATTTTGGGTAAATGCTGTAAATGAGAAAACCCAGCCCACTTTAGAGCTCATACAGTCAGGTCTATAAATTTTGGGACATCGACACAATTCTCATCTCTTTCACTGTAACCACCACCACCATGGATTTGTAGTGAAATAAACGGGATGTGCTTTAACTAGTCTTTTAGCTGATCAGGTGAACAGTGTATGAATCACAACAGTTAGATATGCCTCCCACTTTTTAAGGGACTGTAAG